CTTTTAAAAAGCGTGTAGTGCATTTTTATCCGTCAAATCCACCCTTTTAGTCGATATAATCTTCTATTCGCCGGAAAGAAAACGGTCCAGAACGTATATATTTATATGGACATTCATTGACAGGTCACAGGTATTCTTTTATTTTATTTTTTTTTTTTTTCATATGGAATCTAGTATCTACTCTGTCTAAACTTAATACCTTTCTTCCTTGCTCGTCGCGCTTCCTAATACCAAAATCCCATTCGACAGATTGATATTCTTCAGTTTACGACGTGGTGCTGCTGCAGGTATTCGCGTTATATACGTATAGGTATAGGTACTTCACGATGCCAAAAAGCTCAGCTCTCATATGTGACGACATTAAATTCCGCGTTCACCAAATTCTGTTTTATCACCCCTTTATAAATCCTTACGATCCGAATTAATCCACATCGCCGATTGCGTGACGTGTGTGGTTTGGCTAATGGCAGCGCCTCGTTTGTCAAACGCATCATGTCGACTCGGAAATTAAATAGAAATGCCTATACATCTGCAGTGCTTGTGTAAAACGATAAACTCGTGGCAAGTTCAAAAGAACATTCCGTGACGCGGAGAGACGTCTAAGTACGTTGTTACACTTTCTCTCTCTCTCTCTCTCTCTCTCTCTCTCTCTCTCTCTCTCTCTCCCTGTGTCCCTCTCTCACACACACAATATTTCCTTTATGGTGGTAACGAGCCGATTACCTACACTCTGTGAGCCCATCAACAGCGTTGTATAATAACATTATTGTTTGCTTAAACCGAAAATAACATCATAAGGTATATCTAAATCCGTTTTCCCGTTTTGGATTTGTATGCAAATTAATTAAATCGTGCAACTTTTACACGTATCATATTATATTTATTGTTTGGGAAGCATGCACGCTCGGTGTTAATTTATTAATAATCGCATTTCCCGTGCACGCGATTTTATGAATAATTCTGCATCTTCTACATACTTCGTGTGTATTAATTTAGGAACTTTTTTTTAAATATTGTTTTATCATCAATAGAAATTAAAAACTTAAGCCATATTTTCTGATTTCTTTTCACAAGCAACCGCGCGAGGTGTACCTACCCTTTATACACTCGTCGAAACTACATCATATTATAATAAACGTGCGTGAGTTCAAACAACTGGTGGTAGGTTTATTATACAATTAATGTAATTTTTTTAAACTATTATTTTAAAAAATCGACTTGAATTAACAACGACTTTTTTTGTTTGTTTTTGTATCAACAACAACAATAATACGCGCACTGTACGCGTGGGATATGCGCGGTTGTTATTTTAATTCCACAACGTTTAGTCGAATAGTGGCGTTATAAGCACATGTGCAATTATATTACCCTTGTTGTTATTCACGTACCTACCTATGTATATGAAACAACATAATAAATAATTGATACAATATATATTGGAGTACGGTGCACATTCACACACTATATATAGGTATGTAGGTATTATAATATGTGTATAGTAATATATTATTTGTATACACATACATCTGCAGTCGGTTAATCCTGACGTTAATTATAACAGCTTCCAATTGCCACTGCGTGCAGTGCAATAATCATTTTCAATAATTATAATAATAATAACAATAATAACGGGCTGTAGATTTGTATTTTATTTAAAACATTACGTCTCCTACGGCACCGTAGGAATATAATTGATTGCATATTATAATAATAACATTACACCTACAACAATAATAATATTATATTGCATTGAGGGAATAGGAAGCTGTGATTTTCTGTTTTGTTTAATATACGCAAGCCCTGAAACACCTGAAATGTAGACTTGTTCTGTATCCAATGTACCGATTGATCTATATTGTGAAGCGATAAGAACTTAGAAAACAGATTCGAATTTTCGTTAAAATCGAGGCTACAAAATTTTAGATTTTTTGATTGTAACTTCTTTAGAAATTAAAAAAAAAATCATTGAATTTCGACTTTTTAAACATAGTTTTAATTTTTATGTTTAGGGAGATAAAAACAAAAAAGCGGGTAAGTGTATGTCGCTCTGCTGTACATTATGTGTCTAGGAGGTAATGGATGGTATTACATTTGAACTCATTGATATCATATCATTGTATGCGAAAAACGATTCAGAACGGAGACGGTATGTCAGTTTAGGATATTTTATTTTGTTATTACTTATTATTTTAATAAGTACTGGTAAGTTGAATTAATAATTAATATTACTCTTAAATTATCAGTGATGCTAGAAAAATATTAAATATACCTATGTAAAATTGGGCTGTTTTGGAATTACAACAAAATGATAAACAAATATTCATTGTATGCAATTTTGTCCAGATTTTAACTTAAAATGACTATAAAAAATAACTGTATTTGTAAATTTTTTAGATTTCTTAGTTACAGAAAAAACTGCTTAAGCGAAAACTTGTTTTAAATTTTCAATCCCAAGCTATAAAAATTTAAAATGTTATATATTTTTGACTACAACATCATTTTCAATTTTAAATTTAATAAATATTGTCAAAATTTGAACTTTCAATGCTTATAAAAAAATCGGGCTTTTGTATTTTTAACACTTCTTAACTGCTATTGTAACAAGTTATCAAGAGTCTTGTATTAAAATCTCATGATTTTTGAAACAACCAATAAAATTTTATTGACATTTATAGTAAAAAAAGTTTAAGAAAATAAAAATTTTAAATATCCGTCAACAGCTTAAAATTAATCAAAATATTTTGAAAATTGTATCAAGTATATGAATTGATGAAATACACATTTGGTGTAAATTTCAAGTATCTACAGTAATTCGTTTTTTAATTACAACAAAATAAGAAAATCACTACAAGAGAAATCAAGTGAATGCTGTAAAAATGTAAACTTCAAACACTCATAAAAATTTGATTTGACTTACTAGTGGAAATTTTTTTTCAAAGGTAGACAAATATATAAGAACTCTTGTATTCAATTTTTAAATCTTAGATATAAATAGAAAAAAATTATGAATATCTAACTAAATATAATTTTGCTAATTTTCGTGATTTTTATAAATGTTATCAAAATTCTAAGTTTTACGCTCATCAAAAATTATTGTGGATTTACTCTTAACTTTTTTTTAATTTCCATAAAACACTTACGAGAAACCTTGTAATACATTCACAAGTTTTTTGACCCAGCGAAAAATTTTTTATCGATATTATTAAAAAAAAACAAATAATAATGGAAAATTTCATATGCTTATAAATAGTTCAACACAAGTCAAAATATTTTGAAAATAATATGTTGTATAGAAAATACTTACACAAATATTCAGTGAAAATTTCATGTATCTACGGTCATTTTGGTTAGAGTTATACTAAAATCCAAAATCGATTTTTTCGAAAACTGGTTTTACGTAGGTACTAATTCCCGTTTTTACTTAATTTTTTGTTTGTTTTTCCTGTTGCTTTTGAAAACTTCCTGGAATTTTAAGTGTTGACCTCTTGAAAACACCAACTAGATACACTTTCCTATCAGAAAAGTTGCTGTTGATGAAAATCGAAGCACTTTTAATGCAAGAAACCGTGATGACAGACACAAAACAAAAATAAATAAATAAATATATAACACATATCATTGTAAAATCATCTATCGTTCATTTATCGAAAAAATAACGAATTAAATAATAATTGTTTTAAAAATAAATACATTATTAATACAGCAAAGAAGTGAGGGTACATTTGTTGAAAAAGGCTTGGCTTACTCCAAAAACATATGAATTTAAAAAAGATTTTACCAATGACTCAGCGAGAGAATTGCATTTAGAATGTCATGCACTTTATACATGTATACGTTATTAATTAAAAAATAAGTATTTAATTAATATTTATCCAAAATAAAATATTTTCCATAGTACTCAATTTTTTAAAAATTGTATTCTCTTTATGAAAATCAAGGGGGTTCAAGTGCACCCTCCGTCTTGATGCACCCATGATACATTATTATTATTAAATGACATAAAGACCATTAGTAGAAGTCGCGGAGGAATGTATCTTAGATTTATTATGAGTATATGATTTTTAATTTTTAACACATACATAATTAACAAAAACTATTAGGTTATAAGTTGAACTTGGGTTTTATGAATAATGTAACTTTGAGTTTTTGTTGTTGTAATTGTTCATAATCAAAAACTTTTTAGCATATCAAATAGATTCGTAGAGTAAAGATTATATTATAATGTAGCTTCAATTACTATTCTTCAGTGTCTACAAATATTATTTTTTTTTTTAAAAAAGTTTGAAAACGGCCATAAGACTAATTTAGACTGATAAACGATAATATGATATAATTAATGAGGTGGTTAAATATTAAACATAATAAATGTGCAGCAGTGATGTTTGTTATCACTGTATATAATTATAAAAATATGAAAACTGTAATTAAAGCGTTACCAAATTGTTTGAACACTTTGTATTTGTATATAATAATTAATATTTTATAACATATTATGTACAGAATATACTTTCAATGATTTAAATCAACTAAACTGCATTAGGAAATACAATTAAGTATAAGTTAGTAGTTAGTAATATAAATCAACTGAGGTCTGAGATAATGCATCGTAATGTAATGTTGAAAGATATTTTTTTAAATAAATAAATATTTTTCTAGATTTTCATAGTTATTATATTTATGCAATTAATATCTCAGTATATTTTCGTATAATATACAGCGACAGGCTTTAAGTAAAAAAGGCCAGTACAACACAAATGTTTTTAATTTGCATAAAGATTCATAACCACAGAAACCATTAAACTTAAATATAATTATAAATAAATATTCATATATCATATTATTATAGGCATTTATATACAGATACCTAATAGTAAATTAACAACTTAACATTAATTAAAGTTATGATTGATAAGTCTAATCATACTAAAAGGCAACCAATACCCCTTAAAAAAAACATTACTGAACCAACATTGTGTTCATTTTTAAAATATAGTAAAAAAATGAACAAAAAACCACTAAAAACTGTTTCGATGCTACCTAAGTGGTACATCAATCCAATATACAAACATGTAAAGAGCCGGTACCTGGAGAAAAGTAGAGTGATGAAAAAACAACACAATACAACTAAAAAGTCTGATGTAATGAAAAGTAAAAGAGTAAAATCGTCCATGTCATCAGAATCATTTAGTGAGGAGATGAACATTGATCGCAACAAATTGCTTACACTGGTGGATAAGTGTTTCATTGATCAATTGGAACATAATTTTCATTCAGAGTATGCAAATTTTATTCTGAACATGGACAGCAGACGACAACTCCAACATCATACATACAAATGTGGTCCATCGATCCTATCAGAGCCGAATCTGCTATTAACCATACATGATTTACTGAAGGTAAGCGAATCGCCTATTGAAATGTTAAATGCTGTATTCATGATCTGCAATTATGAAAAAACTAACACAAAAGAATGGTTTGAACCCCCAGAATACAAATGGTTGTGGGTGGCCGAAGCCATTATGATTACTGCTCTTATGTTGAATAATCGCACTCGTGACAGTGATTATGGCAACGATGATAGGCCGGAATCTGCGGTGTTCTGGTACGCGGCCGGCGTATTTTACGGCAGCAACGGATGCACGCAAACTGCCATAGGTTACCTAGAGAAGGCACGAACCATTGCCGATGGCCCAAACAGACTGATATTCCCATCGATAGCGCCCGACTTACACCTGGCAATGGGAGTTGACCAATATGGAGGGTATCTTAAAGAGCCATACAGCGTGTGGACACTGGCATGTATGTTCCAAAATTGTCTACTCAGACAAATCGCTATCCATCAAAAGCCGAAGAAAGCGCTCCGTACATTACAGAACGCCTACGAACTGCTTAAAGCGTCTGGTGAACCGGACAGTATTCCACAGATGCTAAAAGCAGAATTACAGTTCGAGCTGGGCCTCAAGTACAAAGCAGTTGATTCAATCGAGCTCTCAGTAAATGCTTTCTGTGAATGCGCTAAATCTGCTGAAAATATTCATCATGAGTTGGATTTAGATGCGAAAATTATGGTATCAGTAATGGATCCCAACCCACCAGAAAACTGGTCTTTACTGGAGTTAAAAGAAGAAGCAAAAAAAAGGTTGAATCTTCGACTGCTCGTCAAAACGATTGTTGCTCAAGGGATGGAAGCTAAGAAAAATGCTCGATTTGAAGAGGGTTTTCATCACTTTGCAGTGGTTGGATGGTTAACCATAAAGACAATGAAGCAAAATGCCGATGCTCTAGATATGGAAATAGCTTTATTTGACATGGCAATTTGTCGGACGGAAAGGATGTTTCAGATGTTTCCCATATCGAAAAAAACTGAACCAACATACCTGATCAACGAATTCAACCAGTGGACGGATTCCAAGGAAAAAAATATGTACTGTGAAGCTAAAAAGGAAGCCCAAGAATTTTATAATTTGTTTAAAGACACACTGGACGAGTCAGTCGAGAATTTAAAGATTTGTGGTAACGACGAGCAGTTTTTGGGCGAAAATGAGCAGTTTTCGGGGGAGGATGGGGAGTTTTCAGACAATGTCGAGCAGCTTTTGGTCGACGAAGACGGGCAGATTTTGAATGTTGATAAGGGTTTTTCGGTCAATTTCTCAAGTCAGTTTAATTATTATAAATTGTAAAATGATACACATCTATTTGCCCTGAATCGTTCTGTTGTCGTCAATACATTACTAACCAATAGGAAAGAAAGACATATAGGATGAAGTGCGATATTGAAAAATGAAAATCCTATATAGGAATATGGTGGTTGCAAGAAAATTGAAAACCGAAAGAAGTTGACTGAATAAACCAGCATTTATTTGCCTATTTCATTTAACGTAAGCCACTTAATATTTCAAAAACTATTAAAACTTTTTAAAATATTTTTAATAATACTTGTTATAATTTTTAATTAATATGTTCTGGAGTGGATACATAAAAATTTAATTTTGGACTTATGAATTATGAGTTACAAGTATTTAACGTTTTGATTGACTGAGTGGAGTGGTAAATGAGTACCCCACAAAATGTTTGTTCACTACTCCGCTCATCCAAACTTTAAATATTTATAAATTATAACTATTATAATGCCTTATAAATTGTCAGAAATTCGATTTTTAAATATCGATAGTTTGAATAAAAGTCTGCCATTCAAAAGAGTAAAAAACTTAAACAATTTAGGAAAGTGAGTACCGGTCTGCTGTAATGTACCGGTCATTAGGTGCATGTAGTGGGTCACTGTAATGAATGTATGAAATATGAATTGAATGATATTTCATTATATATGATTCTGAACGAAGATAGTCTGTCAGCCTACATAAAGTATATTCATTCATGAAATTATTTTGGTATTAATTTTAAGGTAATTAATTTTATTATTTATACTATTGCGATTTGTGGTAAATTGATTTAATTGTTGAATTAAATACTCCATTTTTCATACTATTAATATTTCAATATTGTATGTTTATTTATTTCATATTATATAATAATTATTAACTTTTGAGTTTTTGACCTAACTTTTGAGACATTAAAATCAATACATTTTCATCACATGAAGTTCAGAATCTAAAAAACGAACGTCGAACATGTTTTGTTTAAATTATTGTTTGGTACTATCGGTTACCTAAAAGTTAGATTATTGTCTTCACTCTTACACATCATTGTATTCAAATTGAACACATCCATTACAGTGAAATATTCAATGAAACCAATATTCGGGTTTTTTAAAACTTTTATAAAAATAATCTATTGTTTAATATACTCATTATTTTCAAGTAGCTTAAAAAAGTATAATATATAAGTAAAAGCCATATCAAATAAATGGACTTTCTCTTAAATATTTCTGAGTGTTTAGCGCCTAGAATAATTTGACTTTATTTTTCCCCAGCTAACGGTGAGTCCTAGCTGGTATGAATCCGCAAAACATAGTTCAAAAGTATTTTGAATTGAAAAAGTGCCAAGCTGATTTCTGCACCATCTAGAAAATAGTATTATTATAATAACCTATATTAGATAATAATTAATAGTAGGTAACTTGTTTTTATGATTGAACCTTTACGTTATTATAAGAATTACTATGAAACTATTCTAACTTTAAGAAATTCAAACTATTTCAATTACTCACATAATAGTTATTACTTATCACAGATAGTCACAGAATCTGGATCACTGGTCTTAAAATTCTTTACATTAGATTAAAATAATTTAAAACTAGTTAAATATGAAGATTTAATTGTATACTCTGTAATATACTTAATAAATATTTATGCATATATAGTAATATTATGTAAGTACATTATAATGTATCAAAATCCAATAATTGAAATAGATTAAAATAGACGTATATGACATTAATGATTAATGTGATTGATATTATAACAAATCTGGCTGATATACTGAAGAGTGTATAGCAGAAAGACCCGACACATTGAAAATTAAAACTGATATTAATGAAATGTATGAAAAAAATTATGATAATTATATGTATGGTAAATAATTTAAAATTTACTTATATCTGAAAATTCCCGAAAAAAAACTTGTAACGTTTCAAATGAATTAAATCGAAAAAAAATGTTATATACTTAAATAAGCTTTTTTATCATCAGTTTTTTTCTAAGAACTAAATTTATGAATTGGCCATTTTGTATTTTTCAAAAAAAAATTTTAAAAAAGTTCAGTATCAAATTATAAAAATCAACAATTGTATACTGAACTTGTAGCGCAGGCGCCTATTAATTATATACAAAGCAACATATTTTAAAATATTTATAAGAACTTAAGTTTTTTTATTTGACTGGTCATTTTGTTACACCTTGACCTTGTATTATGTATATATTAAATAATGTTCTAACAACAAATGCAAGGGAACAAAGACTTTTTTTTTAATCTTCAACTATACGAATATAATATCTAGGTGACTGACTAAATAGTAAATATACAACTTAAAAATTTTAAAAAATTTAACTCAACTTTCAGCCGCTATTGGAGACAATCTTAGCCATTTTTCCATCACCTTATATAATATATACTTGACGAAAGGTTAGGGTGCCTAAAATGTATTTGGCGCACTAAGATTAACTTTAAAAAAGTTGAATTTTGAGTAATTAAATATTTACGTGTTTTGGTTATTATAAAGTTATGCAGCAGACAATGTTGAACAAAAGCCTTATAATTAAGACGTGTTGAGTTGACCTCCATAAGCCAATGAATTATCTCTGTTTGTTGACTTTCGTGCAAAATCACGAACACCCACAATGATTTACGCGATGTTAAAACCCTTTGTAAACTTTGCCACGCCGTGTATATTGACCAGTTTTACGAGACTGCTTAATTAAGTTCCGTGTTAAAGTGTCCTTATAAGTTTGCTTCATACTCTGTGTAATTAATATTCGTCCAATTATGTTCAGTTTTCGATGTACTATGAGTACCGTATTTAAATGTAAGAAAAATAAGCTACTGTATATATATTAGATTGTACCTTTAGGTATAATTCAATACTTCCAGCAGGGAAATTTATGAACTGTAAAAGCTATTTTTTACTGGTAGCGTATTTAATTTTATATCATACACAAAAATATTTTTAAAAAAATAACAATATATTTGATAAGTTTTATTTTTAATTGTATTTTCCTCAGTGAATACTTCACCCAATTGCGCCACTAGGGTGTGCGGGCCAGTCCTGTACAAAACAATTGGCTGGGTGTATTATTATAATCTAAAATATAATATGGATAAATAAAACTGTCAATTAATATTAGAGCTTAACATACAACTTTATATGATGCACTCTTTGTACTGACTAGCCTTAGAACCTGCTAAAATGTTTATTAAAATAGTTTCTTAGTATTTTAAGAAAGCTAGAAAAAACACTTTTTAGTTATGAATTATAATGGATAATTATAATTAATATTCACAGAATTCCGATGGGCTCGTTTTTACCACACAATAAAATAATTAATTTTGAAATTAATTTTACTGCATTTTTTTTATATAAGTAGGAACTTTTATCTTTACATTAATCATTTATTTTAATTTTAGTTGTGTTTTTTTCTTTTTTAAACAGAAAGACTAACGTCTCACAGGCCATAATTATATAATCAAAAGAATTTAATCAACTGCTAAAATATGCAGTATGAAGTATCTGACTTAATATATGTGTACAAGTTATAAGGATTCAATGGTTGTATTACAAATATTTATTTTTTTACCCGCCTATTAATTGTGATGAAAATATAATTTTGTAATAATAGTGCTGTTTTTGTGTATTTTAGATTTTCAAATGTAAGAATGTGTTTTTAAACTAATTGAATTTTCATTTCATACATTTAATTGTAACATTTTCCCATTGTAAAAACTAAGATATTTCTTGTATATTTTCAAATATTTGTATTTACTTAAACCCATTCCCTATAGGTATTACCTATTAGGTATAGAGCTTCCAAGAGTTTATTGTAACTTTGGTTTTTATTTTCCAGACAATAATAATTAAGTCCCTCCTTTTATAGTTATATATATTATAACGAAATGGACAAGCGTTTTCTTGGTGTTCCAATTACTTTTTCGCACGAACTACAGCACGTGATCCCAAGAGAAAAGACTACGGTAGACCACTGATGCCATTTTTTTTATCTACGAGACTATTCCATACGTGGACAGTTTGTCCGACAATGTTGTTTATGATATATTTTATAAGGGTTCACCGCGACAATATTGCCCAGTGGAGTTGAGAAACGAATGTGCGAGGATAAATTTCCAAATAAAAGGCACAGGTACTTCGCGTAATTCAAAAACGGATGAAATAAGTAAGTAAGAATAAAATAAATAAAAATATAGGAGGTCTATAAGTCCAACGTGAGATATTTAAAGAGTTTCGCGTTATTTAAAAAGTTTATTCATTTTCATAGACAGGATGTCAGGACATATATACAGGAGATATGCACTATACATTGCATTTTACACACACACACACACACACACACACATATATACATATATACATATATATTTATTTATTACAGCTACAATTTTGCACGCCCAGCGATAATACCGTTGGAAATCTTTTTTTACGGAACAAAATACTTATTTAAAACCGAAACGTTCAAATAGAAAGGATAAAATAAGAAACAAATATATTATAGAACAACCAAAATAAATCTCAGCAAGCAGCGTGCAGTATGTTTTTGGATCCAGGTACCATTTGTTCCAAATGGGTAATATATTGTAGGTGGGTAAAAACTAGAAGTGGAATAATGTTAAATACCTATGTATGAAGTTTTATTTGTTAGTTAAGACTATTATTTCGTTTCGAAGTGTTCAGTAACACTTAGATAGTCGTTTAATTTAAAAACTATATTGTAAGAGATTTAAATAGAAAATGTATACCATCAAAACAATTTTTTTTTTATAGTTTTTTTTAGTTAGTTTTTTTTAATTTTTTTTTTAAGAAAAAACTTTTAGTATAATATACTTTTAAATTTATTATTTTGATTGAATCTTTATATAATGTCATACTGAACTAGTTATAGTGTAATTTGCCTTCGTCAACTTAAAATATTTTAATATAGTTTATATACTAGACAGTCTTAAAAAGTATATTTTAATAATAATATTTAAATATTATTAACTAGGTGACTTTAGTATGAATAATTTTATATTCTAATACATTTTCAGAAAGTGATGAAGTGTATATTTGTACATTGTAAGTTCACTATTATAGTTTTAATTCAATCAAGAAAACTAAATCATAAACATATGATCAATATTAATTACTTTTTTTT